TTTTTCTCCAGTGTGCCGCTTCATGTGATTATTGAGTGCATATTTGGTAGTAAAACTTTGATTGCACTATAAAAATGAATGCCTGTTATATAATATTAAACAAAAATAATTGATATATTTACTTCAGTGCATATATAAGGGGTTTCGCCAGTGTGAGAATGGCGATGGTCTTTCAATTGACACCCTGACAGAAATTTCTTGCCACAAAAGTCACAAATAAAACGTTTTTCTTTATGTCTACGTTTATGCTTTCTGCAAAATATTAAAAAGTAATTTCAATAGACTTTTTAAATGTATAAATCATTTATAACTTATTACATTATAACTTACTTTAAAATCGACAAACTGGGAAAACTATTTTTACAAATAGGGCACATAAATTCTTTAATTTTTGCCAGTTGTGTGGCAAAATGCCGTTTTAAGTGTTTTCGCAAACTATCTACACCAGAGAACACTTTATTACACACTTTACAAGTGATGGTTTTTTTTAAGCTTCCTGCACACGATGTGTACTTTTGATGACGTTTTAAATGGAAACTGCGCGTGAAGTCTCTGCCGCATATTTTGCAAGCCCACAATCTTCCAAGACTTGCGTGTTGCTTTTCGTGTAACTTCAATAGGGTAGCTGTCCGTAATTTTGCATTACAAATAGAACAAGGAAATTCATCGAATTCCGAATGAATTATGAAAATATGTCGTTCGTAACTCAGTTGAGTTTTAAAGGATTTTGGGCAATCAAAGCAATTTATTTTTCCACGCTTCACAAGAACAATATGAGTTAAAAACAATTTCATTAGTAAAATAAAATATTGTTTCATATATAAGGTCTGTTCCACGAGCTACTTCTAGTAACTTTGAGTAACATTGTGTATACACAAGTGCATTCCACAAGCAAATTGAGTTTTACTATGAGTAGCTCGTGGAACAGACCTACTCTATAAGAATTTTGTGATAATCAATAAATATTTTATGAAGCGATACTTAACTAATATTTTTAATAGTTAGACGTATTTTTATATATATATAATAAGTTAAACCAAAAAAAATATCTTTTATTAATTATATATTATTAATATTTTCAGTAATTTGCTAATGTATCAATAATAGTCATTATTTTATTAAAAATAAATAAATTCATAAAAAAGAAAGCTTAAATTTTTTACATATTTAGATATAATTTTCTTGTTTTATGAACTATTCGTACATGTTCAAATGATATGGCTGGAGAAGGCAATGGAAATTAAGATTAATTGTTCTTACTATACCAATTTGTAAAGAAGACAAAGTATGAATTAGAGTATAAACAAAATTACAAGAGCTACCAAGAGCTACCACAATATAATTTTAAATATTTTGAAAAGACCATAAAAACTGTCTAAATAATACGTTATATGTATTTAGAAACTACTTTGTGATTAACAGACATAGACCAAGAAAGTTCATAATTTTGTGTTAATAGAACATTTTAACTGTGGACATTTTGAACGAGTATATATACAAAAATATTTAATTGTATTTGCAATTGAAAAAAGAGTTTTTTATACAAAAGGCAAGATCAAAATCATAATTTTATTCTAACTTTGGTGAATATTAAATAATCCTAATTATATACATTTATGAAATTATCAGATTATGACAAACTTACATGAAATGTATCATAACTTTCACCGCAACAAAAGCATATATTCTCCTGCTCTAGTTTAACCGCATCCTCTTCGATTTTCTGTATGTTTTTTATCATTTCTGCTTTTCGAGAGTGATAACTACTATTCAAATAGCACACAGCTAAATGTTTTTTAAGCATCTGTAAAGTATAAGCAAAGTATAAGACCTAAATAAAAACTGATTTAAATAACAATTACAGTACTTACACCAAATACTTTAAATGACTTAGAGCAATTGTCGCATTTGTGTTTTTCAGTACGATCCTCAACTGTTTCTTTTGTACCGTCAGCATCCAAATGGACCCTATCATTTATATTAGAAATTTTGTCCTCCGATTTCACTATATCATTATCCGTTAATGAAAAATCAATGTTTGGGCCTCCTTCGTCTTTAATGGAAATGGTTTTTAAAACGTCGTGACTCATTTTTTTTTTATTTTAGCTGTCCTGGTCAACTTTTCAATTTATTCATGCGAGTGTTTAAATGGAACGAATACCATTTAGTTTTAGCAACAAGGAAAGTCAATCATTTTCAACGGTGAAATTTCTTATTATTATTAAAATAATCATACTTTAAATTATATATTCATATTTCGAAAGTGAAAATTTTAATTTGTAATATAACTAGTTTTATGTATTAGACATGGGAGGTGTATTCGGTGGCTCGCAAGTACGGCAAAAAACAGCAAGTTGTTGGCCTATGCAGGCCTATACTGGCCGCAATGTACGCAATACAACAACACTATTTTCTCTGCATCGGCCAGCGCAGTTATGCTGGCCAACCACATCGGCCAGTAAAAAAAAAAATGTTACCAACGCAATAAGCGAACTATTGTGAACATTCATTGAAAATTCCAACGAATAGTGCAATCAAATGTCAAAAATTGAGGAAATAAAAATTCAAACAGAATTCAAAAATTTGAAAAATATTGAAAAGTAAATAAGAAATAATAAGAATGGAGAAATCGTAAGTATTAAGCACATTGAATTTTTTATTATGTTAGTTATTACCAAGTAACATTTATTTTATTTCATTTAATTTGTAGTTTACATACATAAAATTAATAAAGCAAACATAATTTTTAAAGTTTTTCTAAAAATTTTTTTTATAGAAATACACGTAAACTGTGGACCACAAAGGAAATGAAGTGTTTTCTAGAGTGCTACTTGGCACGAAAGGAAGAGTTTATGGAAACCAGAAAAAAAAGACTTGGATATCAACATGTACTTGAGGACATGATAGCACATGGAATTGCAGTAAGTATCGCATAACTTCTGCAATCATTTGAATAAAAAAATAAATTAAATTATATTAAAAAAAAATATTTATTTTAGGATGACTTTACTCCAGTCTGCTTAGAAAGAAAAATGCGCACACTTCTAAGTGCATTTAAAGCAGCCAAAGATAACAACAGACGGACTGGTGCATCGCAATGCTTACCACCCTACATGGAGTTGATGAACGAAATATTTGGTGATAAACCAATTATTTCAAATAATCACACTGCGACGTTAGGGTTTGACAGCTATGTTGAAGACATAGAGGTGCTGGAAGAGTTGGAAATAAACATTGTGCAAACGCACGCTGAGCTATCGCCAACGCAAGAAGCACCAACGGAAGAATCGCCAACGCAAGAATAACCAACGGAAGAATCGCCAACGCAGGAATCTCCAACGCAGGAATCGCCGACGCAAGAATCATCAACGCAGGAATTGCAAATGCAGGAATTGCCACAACCTTCAAAATTTAACCGCAAAAGAAAATCTGTGCGTCGGGAATATTATGATAACAAATTATTTGTTAAGAAAAGAATAGAGGAAGAGAAATTAAAATTTTTTAAAGAAACTATGAATGAACTGAAGCAAAAAATAATTAAGAAATGGGATAATGAATTGAAATTAGAGGAAAGAAAATTGAAATTGGAGGAAAATAAATTCAAGTTACTTGAAAAACTTACGCAAAATATGTAAATATATTTATATAAATTTTATAAAAAAATATGTGTAAGTTAAAATACTTTATCAATGATGTGAAATAATTTGATATAATATTTTTATTTTAATTAAAAATATGTTATATTCATTTTATGTAATATATATTTTTAAGTTAAGAATTTCTTTAATTCATATTTAAATTTGTACTATTTATTTTACTTTTATGTAAAATATTTTAAGTTCAAATAAGTTTCTAGTTGTAATAGTATAGTATTTTTATTTTCTTTCAAAAACATTATAATATTTTAATCTTAAAACTAATCTTACACATTAATTTATGCTATTAATAAATAAATTACAAAATATTTACACATTAAAATATTACTTATTGAACTAAGTTAAGTTAGTTTCTATAAATGTAACAAAATTTTCTATTTAAAAAATTACAATAAATATATTAATTAATAAACTTATATAACACCTTTTCTTAACAAATAATTAAAAAGTCTTTCCCTTCTATTATTACCATGATCTAATTCATGCTCTTCATCAGCTTGCTGTTCGTCATTGTTTTGAATATTTGATTCAGCATTCTCAAACAAATCATCCTTTATAATACAAATATTATGTAAAATACAAACGCTTACAACTATATTTGTTATTGCAGCCAAATTTGTCTGCTCCGTAAATTTTAATAATCTTCGGAAACGAGTTTTTAGTAAACCAAAAGCGTTCTCAACTACAATACGAGCAGATGAGTGTTTTTCATTAAATTTTTTTTGACTATCGGTTAAATTGCCATAATTTTTGTAAGGTGACACAATCCAGTTTGTAGAAGGATAAGCAGAATCTCCAATAATAAATGTCGAGTTTGGAAATATTTCTTCGTATCTGGATTGTGCCATTCTATATAGCTTTGACCTTCTCAAAACTCTGTAATCATGCAAAGATCCAGGTTCTCCGCAAGTAACTTCAATAAATTTTTTTATTGGCATCCACAACAGCTTGGAGAACGATACTATAACGTTGCTTACGATTAAAGTAATCTTCTCCATGGTTTTGTGGTTTTTTAATGGGAATGTGTGTACAATCGATTGCTCCGATAATGCCTGGTATTTTGTGTTTACGTTCAAATGTATTTATTATATCTAATGCAGCGACTCCTTGTGGCCATGATACATAATCTCGGCCTATGGAAATCAAAAACGTAGCAACAGTTTTTACTGTTGACCATGCTGTAGAAACTGACACTCCAAAGAGATTTCCTAATTGTCTATAAGTTACTGTATTACCAACGTACCAAAGATATATATAGACAGACTTTCTGCAGCTTACATGTTTAATACCACCACAATCTGTATCCGACAAATTCTCCGATTCTGAGAAGCGCACTAGAAATAAATTAAATTTGTAATTTAATCACAAACAACTCAATGTATATTTACAGATAAGGTCTTCCGCTGTACTTCGTCGTAATCTGAAGTGATTTTTAAAATCCATTGGGTTCATTGATTCTATACTTTCTTCAAAATTTTTACACTTTTCCTGCTCTTCTTCACTCTGGCTTGAATCTTCAGAGGAGGCTGTTGCGGCATTCATAACATTTAAAAAATCCTTGAAGCAACTTGCATCCCTCGGCCGCTGCAAAACGTTGCTTTCTTCTCCCAACATCGACAGTACCTACAAAAATTTACTTATCTTAGTGTTTTATTTTTAAATTTCCAATATTCTTACCATTCCTTTTAATTCCGTGTTCATTTTAATTTTATAATATTTTTTTAAAAATATAACTGATTTATATGCACATATACAAAACATCAAAACGTCAAAACAAAACATTTGACAGATTGCAACAGTGATGCCAATGACTCGCGTGGCCAACATAGGCCAACATGCATTTTTTGCCGTACTTGCGAGCCACCGAAAACGCCTGGGGTTAACAAAAAGTTGAGGCAGTTTATTATTGGATTTTATTCAGTACATTATTTACTCGAGATTATACTGAGAAACCAAATAACTTATTGATGATATTATTTGCAATTTATATTTATGTAAATGAAAACACGAACAAATTCGAAAACTTCTTATGTAGTACAACTAATATTTGTTACTTTTTTAAAATGTGTCAAAAGTGCAAACAAAAAAAAAACAAACTTCAGAGTTGCAATTTACGCAACGAGATAAATTTATATACACACGGAGAAGATTTATTTTATACATTTATTCAACCGTAGCGGATTTCTCATTCTTAGCGACGTTCAATGAATTTAGTTATATTGTCATTACGACGTCAAGCAATCGTAGTTTACCAATCCGAAGCATTAGCTCCTCCACCAATCCTTTAAATGTTTTTTTCTTAGAAGGGTTCGAATAAAAATGAAAAGACAACATAAATTTTAGTTAATTTGTTGAAATTTGGCTGACGCTCTTTCGCGTATTACCAAGTACTCATCATCAATGGTCTTAGGAAATATTCGAATTTTTTAATTAGTTTATAGTCGGTATACAATTTGTGACTTTTTTTGTGTTGGAAAAAGTTCGTTATTGCCCAATGTTTCCCTGGGAACAAATGAATATAATTTGTGCGGACTGCAAGTGCCAGGTTTAGAATTCATGTCTGTTAAATTAGAAGTGATAACTAATCGTTTTTTTCCACAAGTAGCCAAAGCTACACAAACTTACAATGCTCAAGTTCCTTTGAATAGTGTCACTTAAAAAACAAAAACTTAAGTATTTTGATAAGTATTATTATTTCTAACACTTAAACGGCAAGACAAATGTCTTTTAGGAAGTAGTAGTAGTATCTTTTAAAATATATATTTTTCATTGATTTCATTCAGTAAAGCGATAGTGTTATTGATTGCAATGATCATCAATCAATTAACCTGTTCAGAGACTTATTTATTTTATTATCTTTATTTAGGCTAATGTGGTCAGATCTAATACACAAAAATAATCTGCTTATTTGATTTAATTAAATAATTCAAAACTATTTTAAAACAATAAATTTAAGTCAAAAAATTAACTTTTGTATTTATAAATTAAATAACATTTATTAATTACTTTATATTATTATATATGTCTTCTATATTCCTATATCATAAATTGAAATATAAAAATTATATTTTATATTATAATACAATATAATTGTTATATAACAAAATAATATTTGTAATTGTATTTGTTTTTTAGTGGACTTTATGTTATTTTTATATTACTTTAAATAATGTAAAACAAAAAATTGACATACAGTCCGGCATATATATATATATACATATATATATTATATATGTATGTAATTACGATAAAGATTATGATAACGATTATGTATGACAGAGAAGATTTCGATACATGTGGAAAAAATGTTTCAACAAATAAATTTTCGTAAGAAAACTCTCTGTTTATTTCTTCGGAAAATTCTCATTTAAAATTCGCGCGCTGTATATTTTTCGATATTTTAAGTTTATGTAGTTTGGCAGCACTGTCCTTAATTACTATGCCAAAAATGAGCGCGATCTGTCAGACAGTTCGTTTACGGCAGCTGTTTAAACCAGTTCACCTCAGTAGTGCGTTGCGAAAAAAACAATGGAAAAAAATATTGAACAAAGAGTTTGCATCAAATTTTGTGTTTCGAACGAAATTTCGTGTGCAGAATCTTTGCGAATGCTACAAAAGGCTTATGGGGAATCAGTTTTATCGAAAACTCAAGTTTATGAGTGGTACAAAGCCTTTCAGGACGGTCGTACGACCGTCGAAGACATGCCGCGTTCTGGACGACCTTCGACCTCTACCCCCGACGAAAACATTGAAAAGGCAAAGGAAATCGTGTTCCAAAATCCTCATGTGAGTGTTAGAGAGATAGCACGAGAGCTAGGCATCGGTCGTGAGATGGCTCGTTTGATTTTGGTGGAAAATTTGTGTATGCGACGTGTCAACGCTCGGCTTGTTCCGATTCACCTCAATTTGTTCCAAAAACACCATCGTGGACAGGTCTCGTTAGACATGCTTGATCGTGCCAATTCCGATCCAACTTTCATGGAACGCATCATAACGGGTGACGAGACATGGGTCTACGAGTACGACATGCAAACAAGCCAACAATCATCGGAATGGAGAGGAAAAGACGAGCCGAAACCGAAAAAACCACGCCAAAGTCGCTCGAAAATCAAGGCAATGCTGATTGTTTTCTTCGATATTCGTGGTGTGGTGCATCATGAATTCGTCCCTGAAGGACAAACAGTCAATAAAGCCTATTATTTGACTGTTTTAAGACGTTTGCGTGAAAATATCCGCCGTAAACGGCCTCAATTGTGGAAGGATAATTCATGGATTTTTCATGACGATAATGCTCCCTCGCACCGAGCCAACATTATCAACGATTTTAAGGCCAAACATTCAATAAATACCATCGAACAGCCCCCGTATTCACCTGATCTTGCACCGTGTGACTTTTTCCTGTTTCCCAAACTCAAATTACCACTCAGAGGAACGCGTTTTGAATCCATAGAAGACGTAAAACAGAATTCGCAGAGGGAACTCAAAGCCATACCGGAAAGCACCTATAAAAAATGTTTTGATGATTGGAAGAAACGTTGGCATTTGTGTATCGCTTCTAATGGAGCATATTTTGAAGGAGATAAAATAAATATTGATGAAGATTAAGAATTTTGCGTTTTATTTAAAATTTCCGGAAACTTTTCGGTCACAATGTATGATTTTATTTAGGTTGTAGTAATATTTTCAATTAAAATTACACTTAAATACTTAAGCTAAATTTATTAATTTTTTTTTAAAATTGTAAGTGTTTAGTATAGTATGTTTCAAAATAAAAACTTAACGTAGTTATCGTTACAACTAATAATATGAAAGGTGAATTTTGGAATTATATTGTAACAGATTTCTAAACAATGATTTTGCATATTCTCGCAAGCGTCTTGAATAATCATAGTCACAATTTTCCACAACTTTTCAAATTACTTAATATCAGCAAATTTAACATACTTCTAAAATAACATAATTATAATCCATTATTTATTATAATTATAAACAAAATTAACTAAGAAACATACATATTAACTAACATATACTGCTAAACTCAATTATTCCATATAAAATTTTTGAATATTACTTTTTATTTTAAAATAATTTGCAATTAGCAATACTTTTTATTATTAGAAAAATCGTTTATAATGGTAAAACCATGTTTCCTTTCTAGCTGTTGATTCTTTGAAGGAACAATACTTTTCAGCTTTGTTGATATATCATTCCTTTCTTTTAGTTTTTTTATACAGCAATGTCACCGCCGACTGATCGATTATCTGCAAAGACATTTCTTAAATACTCGAAAAAAGTTTTTGGTGTTTTTTCCATTTTCTAATAATAAGTTCTATGTATTTGCTTCATTAGTTTCTGATTTTATATATTCTAATTCTGCAACGCCACTTTTGAATGCACTAGCTGGAGTATCGGGAACAGTGGTGTCCGGCTCGGTTTTTATACTCTGATTTTCTAGTGTCATAGAATTATATTCTTCGTTTTCTAATAATATTTGCTCTGTGCTTATTTCACATACTTCATCCTTTATAAATTCTTGAACAATAGAAGAATTTTCTTCACGATATTTTACGGGTAATTTAATTTTTCTTTTAGGTCTTGTAATGTTTTCCATTGGATTTTTATTGGAACATGGCTTAAATTTCTTGTCATAACTCGCATCGTCTCTACGACGTTTTTCCAAATCTTTAAATTGTAAAAATTTTATACAGAAAAAAATTATTTAAAATAATTCAAAAGATTTATGTTATAAAATATATAGATATAAAACCTATTATAAAGTTTGAAAAACTCAGTTTTTTATTTATTAAATATAATTTGAATTGATATTTAGTTTACGCTTACATTATGAGAGTTAATTCGATATATGTGCAGTAATAAATGCTGTATATTTATACTTAAATTAATTCAAAAATATGGCGGTTAAATCTTAAAACCGTAACTTCACGTTTTAGTGAAAAACTTATGGAAAACAATTAATAACTTAAATAAAGATTTCTAACCTGAAAAATATCTATTATTTAAATAAATAATTAATCATATTATAATGAAATTCTGAAATCATAAATATTTTGCACATATTGAAAATACTCTACCTAAATGAATTCCCGTGTTATGATGAATTTTCAACTCATCCTCTGTCGAATATATCGCTTCGCAATCTTTGCACTTGAATTTATGTCCCTGGGGTTCATTTTTCTGTTTGTTTTCAGATGAATGAGTTTTAATATGTTGTTCAAGTCTGCAAAGTTAAGTTATTAATAAATTTATTTTTTATAAATATAAATAATTATTTACTTCTTATTAGTTTTAAATTTTTCTTCACACTGATCACAGGCAAATGGGTGTAAATGAGTTTTTCTGTGATAACGTAGCTCAATTTCCTGTAGATAACACTTCCCACATTCATTGCAAACGTGTGGCTTCTGGTCTGCATGTCGCTGCATATGAATCTTAAGTCTCTGTTTAGACGCAAAACTTTTATTACACTATAAAAAATATAATTACGTATTATACTTAAGCTTAAATATAAATAATTTTAATATATACCTCAGTGCATGAAAATGGCTTTTCACCTGTATGTCGCTGCATATGAACCTTGAGTCCTTGCTTAGCAGTAAAACTTTTATTACACTATAAAATATATAATCTCTTATTATATTTAATCTTACATGATAAAAATGGAATACATACTTCAGTGCATGAGTAGGGCTTGTGTTTACTATGACACTTCATATGATTATCGAGTAAGCTCATGAAAGCGAAACTTTTATTACACTATAAATAAATGTACTTATTATATTAAAACTTAATTGAATACGTTTAAAATGTATACTTCAGTGCATGTGAATGGTTTTTCACCTCTGTGCTGCATTATATGAATCTTAAGTTTGTCCTTAGAATAAGCTTTATTACACTATAAAAAATTTAGTTCTTATACATGATATTAAATAAAATAATTTAAACATATACTTCAGTGCATGGGTAGAGTTTTTGACCAGTGTGTTGCTTCATATGACGATAGAATGTGGTCGTGTAAGAGAAACTTATATTACACTATTAAATATGAATATATTTTTATTTAAACTTATATATAAAATAATTAAAACATTTACTTCAGTGCACGAGTAGGGCTTTTCACCGGTATGTCGCCTCATATGACATTTGAGTGAGCTCATTGTAGAAAAACTTTGATTACACTTAAAAATTATATAATTATTATTTTTAATTTTATATAAAATAAATAAAATATATACTTGAGTGCACGAGTAGGGCTTTTCGCCAGTATGATGCCTCATATGAATATTGAGTGAACACTTCATAGAAAAACTTTTATAACACTAATAAAAATATAGACTTCTTATATTGAGTCTTAAATTAAAAATAATTCAAATATATACTTGAGTGCATTTGTAGGGTTTTTCGCCAGTATGATGTCTCATATGAAGCTTGAGTCCTTGCTTAACAGCAAAACTTTTGTTACACTATTAAAAATAGATCTAATTATTATATTTAATTTTATTTGAAAATAATTGAAAAATATACTTGAGTGCATGGGAATGGTTCTTGGCCTTTATGTCGCATCATATGAACATTGAGTGAACTCTTAATTGGAAAACTTTGATTACACTATTATAAATATATATTTATTATATTCAATCTTAAATGAAAATAATTACAATATTATACTTCAGTGCATGAATAGGGCTTTTCACCAGTATGTCGCCTCATATGACTTTTGAGTGAGCTCATTATAGAAAAATGTCGATTACACTTCAAAATTAAATACTTATTATTTTTAATCTAATATAAAATAATTATAATATGTACTTCAGTGCATTTGTAGGGTTTTTCACCAGTATGTCGCCTCATATGAATCCTGAGTGTACTCATAATAGAAAAACTTTGATTACACTGTTAAAAATATATATTTGTTATGTTGAATCATAAATGAAAATAAGTATAATATTATACTTCAGTGCATTTGTAGGGTTTTTCACCAGTATGTCGCCTCATATGAATCCTGAGTGAGCTCATTGTAGAAAAATGTTGATTACACTTAAAAAGTTTAAAAGTTATATAATTATTATTTTTAATATTATATAAAATAATTGAAATATATACTTCAGTACATATGCATGGTTTTTCACCAGTATGCTGGTTCATATGAAGAATAAGTGAGCTCTTAACAGTAAAACCTTTATTACACTATTAGAAATATAGACTTCTTATATTGATTGTTAAATTGAAAATAATTAAAATATATACCTCAGTGCATTTGTAAGGTCTTTCGCCAGTATGTTGTCTCATATGAATATTGAGTCCTTTCTTAGAAGCAAAAATTTTGTTACACTATTAAAAATATTTTTACTTATATTATTTAAATTTAAATAAAATTTATTAAATTATATACTTCAGTGCACGTATTAAGTTTTTTACCACAATGATACCTTATATGATAATTCAGTGACCTTTTGAGAGAGAAACTTTTATTGCACTAGAATAAAATAATAAAAATATACACTTATTATGTTTATTTTTACAACAGTAATTATTATATTCACTTTAGCACAGGAGTATGGGTTTTCACTGTTGTAAGAACGATTAAGGTCATTCTGTACACCCAATTTCAGCAATTTCTTTTTAAAAGAGTCGCAATTGATATATGGCTCATTTGTGTTTTTACTTTTATGAACACTGTAAAAATTTAAATTATGATATTTATTTTCTTTTTTTTATCTATGTATCACTTACTTGAACACAGTTGATTCGTTTTCCATAATTAATTGCTCAGTAACTGTTTCAGTTTCTTCATCTTCTATTACTTTTTGTGAAACTCCGCCATATTCGAGAGGTATTCGATCGTTTATAATTGTACCGTTTGGAGTTTCAGTAACAGCAGATCCTGTTTCAGTTTTTATAGTTTCATTTTCTATTGTCATATTATTGTACATTTCGCTTTCTAATAGTAAATTCTCTGCAGGTGCATCGGGTACTTCTTGTTTTATAAATTGTTGTATAATAACTTCATTATTGATGGATATTTGTTCATTATTACTCATATGTGTCGGCTGTATCCTTTCACTTTTCTTTTCGTTATTGAATAATAATTTTTCTGTAGTTGTTTCAGTTCTTTCATCTACTATACATTCTTGTTTAATAACTCCATTTCCTATTGACGAAAGTTCTTCATATTTTAGTGATAGTAAGACATTGTTATCAGTTGGAGTAACATTTTCAATAGGGTTTTCGTTGGAATTATCACCTCTGTAATTTTTTTCTGATGACGTGGCGACATTATTTGGTTTTAAGTTTTGGGTACATTTAGCACTGAGGAAATTCTGTGGATGCTCTCTATGTATTTTAAGTAGGTGAGAGTTCAAAGCTTTCACTGTATTAAATTCTTTGTTACAAAGCGTACAGTTTCTTTGTTTTTCTTTCACATTTTTGGAGCTGTTTTTGGTGTATTTATCTGATATTTATATAAAAACGTGCATTACATTTAAAAAACAATCATTTATAAAATATATTTAAATATTTAAGAACTATTTGTGATATATCTACATAACGATAAGAAAAAAGAAAAATTATGGAAACTCAGTTTGTGAATAAATACAACACCTGCAGTTAACATTTATAAGAATATGATAATATATGTGTCAGATTTAACTTTATCACCGATGCAGATGACGGATTAAATAATGTGACTCCTTCTGACACATATCCTTACGTTTCCAACTACCTGACATATTCTTTCACAATATTTGTTAAATAAACTATTTTGTTTATTTCTGTAACAGTGGATCAAATTTTGTAGATTTATTTGTAGACATGATGTGTCTGAGTAAAATAATTCTTGATTTTCAAATTTAGCCAAAAGTTTAAATAAAATTCAAATTTTATGATTTTTTCTCTCATACAAATCTACAATCTATAAAGCTCTAACTATCTATAACCATTGTGAATTTGCAAGCAGCGTTAGCACATTAGCACATTACTACACAACAAAACTACAATAATTTTACAACATAATGACGACGTAAATACCTGCTGGGCAACCTAATCTTCTTGAACTTGTTTCATTCTGTTCTTAATATTCTCAAACTTCATATACTTCATATACAGTAGACTTCTAATTTAACTAATACTAGATATAACAAGCGATCAAATGCTTGAAAATACTAAACATAACAACTGTGTTTCTGTATTTCTAAATAACACATTTTTTATACAACAACACAACAAAATTCTATTGTGTATTAAAAATAACTTACGTATATGAACTTCTGTATCACAATGTGTTTTAAGTTCTTCTTCTGTTGCATAAATTGCTTTGCATTCTGTGCATTTGAATCTTTGTTCTCGAGCCTCATTCGCCAACTTGCTTTCAGACAAATGAATTCTGATATGTTGCTCAAGCCTGTAAAACCAAACCATTAATACATTTATTTTTTCAATGTAAATAGAATTACTTCTTATTAGTTGTAAATGTCTCTTCACACTGAGCGCAAGCAAAAGGACGTACATGCATTTTACTGTGGGAACGTAGCTGATATGCTAGCATAAAACGTTTTCCACATTCGGAACAAACGTGTGGCTTTTCCCCACTATGTCGCTTCATATGAACATTGAGTGCTCCTTTACGAGTAAAACCTTGTTCGCACTATAGAAATATGTATACATATTTTATTATATATAATTTTAAACAAATATAATTGGAATATTTACTTCAGTGCACGTAAATGGCTTTTCACCTGTATGTCTCCTCATATGAATTTTAAGTTCGCCTTTAACGGAATAATTTTTATTACACTAAAATAGTATCTTAATATAATGTTATTCTTCAATGAAATAATTCAAATATTTACTTCAGTGCACGAATAGAGGTTTTTTCCAGTATGCCGCTTTATATGTCTATTAAGATTCAGCTTAACCGCAAAACTTTTATTACACTATAAAACATATATTATTAAAATTATATATAATTTTAAAATATTACAATTAAAGTATACTTCAGTGCATGTGTAGGGTTTTTCTCCAGTGTGCCGCTTCATGTGATTATTGAGTGCATATTTGGTAGTAAAACTTTGATTGCACTATAAAAATGAATGCCTGTTATATAATATTAAACAAAAATAATTGATATATTTACTTCAGTGCATATATAAGGGGTTTCGCCAGTGTGAGAATGGCGATGGTCTTTCAATTGACACCCTGACAGAAATTTCTTGCCACAAAAGTCACAAATAAAACGTTTTTCTTTATGTCTACGTTTATGCTTTCTGCAAAATATTAAAAAGTAATTTCAATAGACTTTTTAAATGTATAAATCATTTATAACTTATTACATTATAACTTACTTTAAAATCGACAAACTGGGAAAACTATTTTTACAAATAGGGCACATAAATTCTTTAATTTTTGCCAGTTGTGTGGCAAAATGCCGTTTTAAGTGTTTTCGCAAACTATCTACACCAGAGAACACTTTATTACACACTTTACAAGTGATGGTTTTTTTTAAGCTTCCTGCACACGATGTGTACTTTTGATGACGTTTTAAATGGAAACTGCGCGTGAAGTCTCTGCCGCATATTTTGCAAGCCCACAATCTTCCAAGACTTGCGTGTTGCTTTTCGTGTAACTTCAATAGGGTAGCTGTCCGTAATTTTGCATTACAAATAGAACAAGGAAATTCATCGAATTCCGAATGAATTATGAAAATATGTCGTTCGTAACTCAGTTGAGTTTTAAAGGATTTTGGGCAATCAAAGCAATTTATTTTTCCACGCTTCACAAGAACAATATGAGTTAAAAACAATTTCATTAGTAAAATAAAATATTGTTTCATATATAAGGTCTGTTCCACGAGCTACTTCTAGTAACTTTGAGTAACATTGTGTATACACAAGTGCATTCCACAAGCAAATTGAGTTTTACTATGAGTAGCTCGTGGAACAGACCTACTCTATAAGAATTTTGTGATAATCAATAAATATTTTATGAAGCGATACTTAACTAATATTTTTAATAGTTAGACGTATTTTTATATATATATAATAAGTTAAACCAAAAAAAATATCTTTTATTAATTATATATTATTAATATTTTCAGTAATTTGCTAATGTATCAATAATAGTCATTATTTTATTAAAAATAAATAAATTCATAAAAAAGAAAGCTTAAATTTTTTACATATTTAGATATAATTTTCTTGTTTTATGAACTATTCGTACATGTTCAAATGATATGGCTGGAGAAGGCAATGGAAATTAAGATTAATTGTTCTTACTATACCAATTTGTAAAGAAGACAAAGTATGAATTAGAGTATAAACAAAATTACAAGAGCTACCAAGAGCTACCACAATATAATTTTAAATATTTTGAAAAGACCATAAAAACTGTCTAAATAATACGTTATATGTATTTAGAAACTACTTTGTGATTAACAGACATAGACCAAGAAAGTTCATAATTTTGTGTTAATAGAACATTTTAACTGTGGACATTTTGAACGAGTATATATACAAAAATATTTAATTGTATTTGCAATTGAAAAAAGAGTTTTTTATACAAAAGGCAAGATCAAAATCATAATTTTATTCTAACTTTGGTGAATATTAAATAATCCTAATTATATACATTTATGAAATTATCAGATTATGACAAACTTACATGAAATGTATCATAACTTTCACCGCAACAAAAGCATATATTCTCCTGCTCTAGTTTAACCGCATCCTCTTCGATTTTCTGTATGTTTTTTATCATTTCTGCTTTTCGAGAGTGATAACTACTATTCAAATAGCACACAGCTAAATGTTTTTTAAGCATCTGTAAAGTATAAGCAAAGTATAAGACCTAAATAAAAACTGATTTAAATAACAATTACAGTACTTACACCAAATACTTTAAATGACTTAGAGCAATTGTCGCATTTGTGTTTTTCAGTACGATCCTCAACTGTTTCTTTTGTACCGTCAGCATCCAAATGGACCCTATCATTTATATTAGAAATTTTGTCCTCCGATTTCACTATATCATTATCCGTTAATGAAAAATCAATGTTTGGGCCTCCTTCGTCTTTAATGGAAATGGTTTTTAAAACGTCGTGACTCATTTTTTTTTTATTTTAGCTGTCCTGGTCAACTTTTCAATTTATTCATGCGAGTGTTTAAATGGAACGAATACCATTTAGTTTTAGCAACAAGGAAAGTCAATCATTTTCAACGGTGAAATTTCTTATTATTATTAAAATAATCATACTTTAAATTATATATTCATATTTCGAAAGTGAAAATTTTAATTTGTAATATAACTAGTTTTATGTATTAGACATGGGAGGTGTATTCGGTGGCTCGCAAGTACGGCAAAAAACAGCAAGTTGTTGGCCTATGCAGGCCTATACTGGCCGCAATGTACGCAATACAACAACACTATTTTCTCTGCATCGGCCAGCGCAGTTATGCTGGCCAACCACATCGGCCAGTAAAAAAAAAAATGTTACCAACGCAATAAGCGAACTATTGTGAACATTCATTGAAAATTCCAACGAATAGTGCAATCAAATGTCAAAAATTGAGGAAATAAAAATTCAAACAGAATTCAAAAATTTGAAAAATATTGAAAAGTAAATAAGAAATAATAAGAATGGAGAAATCGTAAGTATTAAGCACATTGAATTTTTTATTATGTTAGTTATTACCAAGTAACATTTATTTTATTTCATTTAATTTGTAGTTTACATACATAAAATTAATAAAGCAAACATAATTTTTAAAGTTTTTCTAAAAATTTTTTTTATAGAAATACACGTAAACTGTGGACCACAAAGGAAATGAAGTGTTTTCTAGAGTGCTACTTGGCACGAAAGGAAGAGTTTATGGAAACCAGAAAAAAAAGACTTGGATATCAACATGTACTTGAGGACATGATAGCACATGGAATTGCAGTAAGTATCGCATAACTTCTGCAATCATTTGAATAAAAAAATAAATTAAATTATATTAAAAAAAAATATTTATTTTAGGATGACTTTACTCCAGTCTGCTTAGAAAGAAAAATGCGCACACTTCTAAGTGCATTTAAAGCAGCCAAAGATAACAACAGACGGACTGGTGCATCGCCATGCTTACCACCCTACATGGAGATGATGAACGAAATATTTGGTGATAAACCAATTATTTCAAATAATCACACTGCGACGTTAGGGTTTGACAGCTATGTTGAAGACATAGAGGTGCTGGAAGAGTTGGAAATAAACATTGTGCAAACGCACGCTGAGCTATCGCCAACGCAAGAATCACCAACGGAAGAATCGCCAACGCAGGAATCTCCAACGCAGGAATCGCCGACGCAACAATCATCAACGCAGGAATTGCAAATGCTGGAATTGCCACAACCTTCAAAATTTAACCGCAAAAGAAAATCTGTGCGTCTAGAATATTATGATAACAAATTATTTGTTAAGAAAAGAATAGAGGAAGAGAAATTAAAATTTTTTAAAGAAACTATGAATGAACTGAAGCAAAAAATAATTAAGAAATGGGATAATGAATTGAAATTAGAGGAAAGAAAATTGAAATTGGAGGAAAATAAATTCAAGTTACTTGAAAAACTTACGCAAAATATGTAAATATATTTATATAAATTTTATAAAAAAATATGTGTAAGTTAAAATACTTTATCAATGATGTGAAATAATTTGATATAATATTTTTATTTTAATTAAAAATATGTTATATTCATTTTATGTAATATATATTTTTAAGTTAAGAATTTCTTTAATTCATATTTAAATTTGTACTATTTATTTTACTTTTATGTAAAATATTTTAAGTTCAAATAAGTTTCTAGTTGTAATAGTATAGTATTTTTATTTTCTTTCAAAAACATTATAATATTTTAATCTTAAAACTAATCTTACACATTAATTTATGCTATTAATAAATAAATTACAAAATATTTACACATTAAAATATTATTACTTATTGAACTAAGTTAAGTTAGTTTCTATAAATGTAACAAAATTTTCTATTTAAAAAATTACAATAAATATATTAATTAATAAACTTATATAACACCTTTTCTTAACAAATAATTAAAAAGTCTTTCCCTTCTATTATTACCATGATCTAATTCATGCTCTTCATCAGCTTGCTGTTCGTCATTGTTTTGAATATTTGATTCAGCATTCTCAAACAAATCATCCTTTATAATACAAATATTATGTAAAATACAAACGCTTACAACTATATTTGTTATTGCAGCCAAATTTGTCTGCTCCGTAAATTTTAATAATCTTCGGAAACGAGTTTTTAGTAAACCAAAAGCGTTCTCAACTACAATACGAGCAGATGAGTGTTTTTCATTAAATTTTTTTTGACTATCGGTTAAATTGCCATAATTTTTGTAAGGTGACACAATCCAGTTTGTAGAAGGATAAGCAGAATCTCCAATAATAAATGTCGAGTTTGGAAATATTTCTTCGTATCTTGATTGTGCCATTCTATATAGCTTTGACCTTCTCAAAACTCTGTAATCATGCAAAGATCCAGGTTCTCCGCAAGTAACTTCAATAAATTTTTTTTGGCATCCCCAACAGCTTGGAGAACGATACTATAACGTTGCTTGGGATTAAAGTAATCTTCTCCATGGTTTTGTGGTTTTTTAATGGGAATGTGTGTACAATCGATTGCTCCGATAATGCCTGGTATTTTGTGTTTACGTTCAAATGTATTTATTATATCTAATGCAGCGACTTCTTGTGGCCATGATACATAATTTCGGCCTATGGAAATCAAAAACGTAGTAACAGTTTTTACTGTTGACCATGCTGTAGAAGCTGACACTCCAAAGAGATTTCCTAATTGTCTATAAGTTACTGTATTATCAACGTACCAAAGATATATATAGATAGACTTTCTTCAGCTTACATGTTTAATACCACCACAATCTGTATCCGACAAATTCTCCGATTCTGAGAAGCGCACTAGAAATAAATTAAATTTGTAATTTAATCACAGACAACTCAATGTATATTTACAGATAAGGTCTTCCGCTGTATTTCGTCGTAATCTTAAGTGATTTTTAAAATCTATTGGGTTCATTGATTCTATACTTTCTTCAAAATTTTTACACTTTTCCTGCTCTTCTTCACTCTTGCTTGAATCTTCAGAGGAGGCTGTTGCGGCATTCATAACATTTAAAAAATCCGTGAAACAACTTGCATCCCTCGGCCGCTACAAAACGTTGCTTTCTTCTCCCAATATCGACAGTACCTACAAAAATTTACTTATCTTAGTGTTTTATTTTTAATATTCTTATATTCTTATATTCTTATATTATTCTTATTATTCTTATTCTTATTATTCTTATATTGTTCTTATATTCTTCCAATATTCTTACCATTCCTTTTAATTCCGTGTTCATTTTAATTTTATAATATTTTTTTAAAAATATATTTGATTTATATGCACATATGGGTCATTCTTTTACAAACCGGACGGATTTTGGCAAAAAATGACCTCATCACCTCCGATTTGGCTGAAATTTTTTTTATGAGCTCCTTTCATAAAATAAGAAGACCCGTATCTCGGGAAAAAATTTTGTAATTTTTTTCCTAGGAGATATGGACCCATGGGGTTTTGAGAATTGGCATTGTAGACACATTTTCAAATGGCTATATCTCAAGTTCTATAAAAGGTAGAAACTTGAAATTTATTGCGTTTTAAAGATAATTGGTTGAGCTTTTAAGAAATTGTTTAAACAATTAAGATTGTTTATATTTAAGTACTAATATTAACCGTTAAATTTCAAAAAAAAAGATATCTCAAAAGGGTACACAACATTTTTCATTTTTTATATTTTATTTAGATTCAATTTTAGATTTTACTAAGAAATAAAAATTTTCATGATAGCATCGATTTTTATAAATTTTTTAAATTTTTTTTTTCTCATAAAACACATCAAACACATGCGTGCTATATTTACATTGAATGAATTTTCAAAAAATATACTACAAATATTCTTATATAATATTTTTGATTTCAATTAGTAATAAAATTGTACATAAAACTCAAAAATTTCAGGACGATATTGTCGTTGGAACTACTTTTAAAAAATTTATTTATCCTTCACATCACTCCAAACCCATACACACGATTTTTCAGTAAAAAAAAAACAGAGGAATACGTCACACAAATTTTTCATTTTTACTTTTAATTCCAATTAAACAATAAATTCTTCTTCGAAAATAAATATTTCCAGTGTGATATTGCTTCCAGAAGTAATTTAAAAAAATTTATTTATCAGGTGTCCTTCATGTTACTCATACGCACCATAATACCATTGAATCAATTTTCCAAGAAAAGTGACACAATATTCACATTTTAAATTAGTTTCGCATCATCTCTATTTTTAAATTATGAATTTTAACATAATTAAACCGTTTTATGAACTTTTTCTTATATTGATGAGTTTAAAAATTAATTAGTTCCACACTAGCTGAACTACCTGTATAACTGCAGCACATAATTACACAGTTGAAAAAATTCTTTAAGCAGGTACGAATTGTTATAGGAAATAAACTGTAAACAATTCTATATGGAGATAAACTGTAAAGAACTATAAACAAAATATTTTTTTTAAGTTTTTGTATTGATTTTATTAATAATCATTTCATTATTGATACATAATCTGTAATCTCTGCAGAAGAAAATATTTTTCCCATTAATATCGTTTTCGAATTAGGAATAAAGCAGTGATATTTTAATGTGCCTTTAACTGATGTAGCTGCTTCGAAACGGTGTTTAATCTTATTTTCTTCAGCTTCATAGTCTTTTGATGTTGAGAAATGGCACACAACATTTGGTAAACATTCGTTAGCCCAGTTAAAAAATTCCTTTGGTGTTTGAATTGGATTATGTATTCGTTGAAGACTAGCTCTTGCAGCATTCCTCTTTAAGGTACCAGCTAAGCATCGTTTTCTAACGATGGGTGGCTTTTTGGATTTGGGTCTTCTAAGATTCCTTTTTCTGAAGCAAGTTTTTTAGCTACAGTAATCATATGCTTTGTAGCGTTTGGAAAGTGAGTTGTGAAAAAAACTCACTTTCGAAAAGACCAATTATGTACCACACTCAATATTTTTATTTTCATCGTCCTATCTGCTGAGCCATTGAATTTTTCCTGTAGATTTTTTAAAATTGATGCAAGGTCATCTTCTTCATCGCTATCCTTTATTTTTTCATTTTTATATTCCTGTTGTTTAAGTTTTCTCGATGTAATTGGGGTATTGCTTATTAGAGAGAGTGCTTTATTTAATGGACTAACAACACTTTTTCTGACTTCAGTTTCGTATGTAGCCGAACTGCTATTACTTGATGGTTGAATATTTTCCTCGCTCGATGACTGGCTGCTGTTTTCCGATATAGCTCCTTCATTGTTCTTATTTTTTTTGGCTCTCATCGCCAGTCTCATTCGGCAACTGTTACATATTTTTTTCCCCATATTTAGGACCAAAATCCTAGGCATCCGCAACATACGCAGGATACTATCTGAAACTTGCCTTACATTGGCCTTTCTTGGATGTATTTTTAACTTCAGCGGATTGAAACATTTTAAGTTATTGAATTGCCGTAGATGCAATTTATTTTTTTCAACTTTTGCCATTATTTAAATGTTCTTACTTGTTTGTTCGCTTTCAAAACAGAAACTGAAAATTTATCCGACTTACTTAACATTTTATACCAAATTTGATACTGGATCTTTTAAAGATAGGAGTACCTAGACACTCCATTTCAAATTGTTTACAGTTCTTACCTGCTTAAAGAACTGTAGCAGAATAACACTCACCATAGAAGGTGGGTGTACTTATGTGCTTCAGTTATTCAGGTAGTTCAGCTAGTGTGGAACTAATTAATTTTTAAACTGATCAATATAAGAAAAAGTTCATAAAACGGTTTAATTATGTTAAAATTTATAATTTAAAAATAGAGATGATGCGGAACTAATTTAAAATGTGAATATTGTGTCACTTTTCTTGGAAAATTGATTCAAGGGTATTATGGTGCGTATGAGTAACATGAAGGACACCTGATAAATTAATTTTTTTTAAATTACTTCTGGAAGCAATAACACACTGGAAATATTTATTTTCGAAGAAGAATTTATTATCTAATCGGAATTAAAAGTAAAAATGAAAAATTTGTGTGACGTATTCCACTGTTTTTTTTTTACTGAAAAATCGTGTGTATGTGTTTGGAGTGATGTGAAGGATAAATAAATTTTTTAAAAGTAGTTTCAACGACAATATCGTCCTGAAATTTTTGAGTTTTATGTACAATTTTATTACTAATTGAAATCAAAAATATTATATAAGAATATTTGTAGTATATTTTTTGAAAATTCATTC